ACAGAGGGATGCTGGGAAAAACCTAGGAACTTCTCAAGACCTGCAAAAATTATTTATTATCCTGACTTCACCTCCACCCAGTCAGCTCCCAGCACCACCCGAACCCCTTACCCACAGTGTCTGTTATTTTGCCCTCTGTAATTTGTAATCTACATGCCATGGGTGAGTCCGGGCTTCTAAGCATTAGCTCTGGCAGGACTGAGTCGCTGGGAAGAGAAAATCTGGGGTAAGGCCAACAAGTTTTGGCCACTTGCCAATGAGGAAAGAAGGAAGAAACAAAATGGAGCCCCTATAGGCAAGCTAACAAAACCACTCAAGATAAAATAGCCAGTATTTCTGTGTCCAGTGTTTGGCTCTGCTAGCTCTGAGTGGATGAACTCTTTCTGTTCTGTAACATAAGGGTCTATGCCCACCAGGGGGCCCCAGTGAGACTGTGAGAGCAGCTCTTCCCCAAGGCTCCCTGGTGGTGGCAGCAGTGACCTGGGCAGATAGGACTAGAGCTGAGGCCATTGCCACCACAGTCCGGCCAGGCCAAGGAGACAATCAGGGAAACACATTATACCTCATGTCATGTATTTTAATTAAATAAATAAAAAAAACAGGATCCATAACTAACATACTTTTGGCAACATTTTCTATAATGGTAAATATTATTCTAAAACAATATCAATGTTTTATAGGGTACATGCAGTTACTTATTACTCAGCCCCAGGCCCATCCTCCCCTGCTCTGAGTCACAGACACTACATTTCCCAGATTCCCTTTGCCAGCTGGCATCCTGCCAGCCTCAGCCCAGGGGTGAGCCTCCAGAAGAGAGTGAGAGGGAGCAGTTAAGGTGTTTCTAACCACCCCTTCCCAGCCCCTGCATCCCCTCCCCAGCTTTTGGACTCTGGCCCAGCCAGTGAGGTAGAAGTGGCTTTATTGATGTTAATCTCTGGGGTGCTTCTCTAGTGTTTGGCTTCTGAGCTCTCCCATCGCCTTTATAATCAAGTCCCTGTTTTACTTTATTTTCTTAAAAAAAAATTTGTTTATTGATTTCTAAGGGAGATAGAAGTATCAATGATGAGAATGAATCATTGATTGGCTGCCTCATACATGACCCCTACTAGGGATGGAGCCCACAACCTGGGCATGTGCCCTGACTGGGAGTGGAAACCTGACCTCCTGATTTATAGGTCCATGCTTAACTATGGAGCCACATCATCTGGGCCCTAGTCCTTGTTTTCAAGTTTGAATAAAGTGGATTGTCTTCCTGACTTGTCCCTGATACAGGATGAGCCGATCCATCGTATGGAGTGCCCCCTTGTGCTATTAAAAGTCATATGTAGTAGACAATACCCTTACAGACAAATCTTAGTCTCCAACTCTGTGTCCTTCTTCTGCAAAAATTTCTAGAAAATTATCCAAAACATGTTTTGACGAATAGTGCCTTTTCCCCCTCTTAAATGATTGTACTAATTTGCACTCCCCCCAATAGTGTGAGAATGCTCCCTTAAACTCTCCAAATTGAAGTTGGAAAACGAGGGTCTAATTTTAATTTCTTTCACCACTAGTGAGGACCATTTTTTTTTCCCAGCTAGCCTCCTGTGACCCTGGGTCAGTTTCCTCTCTATTATTGCCAGTCAAGCAGGGCCATGTCAATGTCCGTGGGTATCACTAAGGACTTGAGAGGAATTTACCTCCCAGGTTTGTGTTTTGCATTTTAGGGAGACGAGGCAGGTTGGTAGGGAGAGCATGCAGGCAAGAGCTCGTGAGATGTTCACGTAAGGGCTGTCTATCCTGGGAGTGAGTTACATGTGCCTGCAGAATGCAGCCAGCACCTCAGAGGGTTCTGCTGAATCGCAACAAACTCTTTAAAGAGTAGGCTTCTGGGCCAGCTGTGACTCTTCGATGGTGTTTGAAACCGAGGGGCCAGGGAAAGTCACCTTCCAGTTGCAGTGCGGAGTTTCTGGGAAGAGAAATACCTGGGGTCCAGGCCAAGTCCTGGCCACATGCCTCTAAGGAAAGAGGGAAAAAACAAAATGGAGTTCCGGTTGGCAAGCGAACCCAACCACTTAACGCAGAGTGGGCGGAGACATGAGGAATCGATTTTACCTCCTTTAGTAGCCTGCAAACGTCAACTTTGGAACTCTCATCTGTGCACCAACGTCTGGAAATGCACAAGTCCTCTAGGTAACCCTCTGAAGAAGTTATTAAAGATTATTTCATTGTTCAGAACATCGGCTATCTGGAAGATATTCAGAAGCTAAAAATGCAGAACTGATTCTTCTCAAGGACGTGCCTTTTTACTATAAAAACTCTCAACTTGCCAAAACTGGTTTGGCTCAGGGGATAGAGCATCGGCCTGCGGACTGAAAAGTCCCAGGTTCGATTCCGGTCAAGGGCATGTACCTTGGTTGCGAGCACATCCCTGGTGGGGGGTGTGCAAGAGGCAGCTGATCGATGATTCTCTCATCGATGTTTCTGACTCTCTTCCTCTCTATAAAAAAATCAATAAAACATAAAAAAAAGAATCAACCTATGAATGTATAAATAAGTAAAACAACAAATGGTTGTTTCTCTCACTTAAAAACAAACAAACAAAAAAACCCTCTAAACTTTTCTTTTTCTCCAGGATACTCTGGTTTTAGCTGGTAAGGCTTCCAGAATTGCAATTCGCCTTAAGGCCCTTGAATAAAACGTCATCATTTAATTCTAGGGCCGCCTCCTGCTTCATGTGTACACCTGTCCAAGAGTATGTAGTCAAAATCATGACACCCGTACATTTTTCATACTGGCCAGGAAGTTCTTACATGCCCAGGACATGTGACTGCACTCTTGCAAATACTCACGAATCACATATGGAGTATTTTGGAAAATGTTATTTTATTCAATTTTTTAATAACACTTAACATCACATTGTTAATGCAATTAATTCTTTATTGTACACGAAAACATCTTCACTAGACTAGAGTGCTCGAGGATTTGAGACGACCCGCTATTCAGCACATCCCAGTCCAAGATTGAGATTCCCTGTATTTACATCAGGCAGAGCAGCATCAGCAAGGAACTGTCACCCCGTTGTGGGAACACACACATTCAGAATGCACTTGGCAGTGTTCCTTTTTGGAAACCTACAGCACAGCTTTCACAGCCACACACAGCTCGACCTTTAAAAAATGAGCAACTTCCTAGAAGCAGCCTAACCGTCAAGTTTAAAAGTTAAAACTCACCTCTTTCTTGGGCATCCTTTAGTGACACACAAATCTAGACACTGTTCTCAACACACATCTGATAAATTCACGAGAATTGGGTGCTGTTGCAATTTGTCTCTTCCATCTTCCTGTCTTGACCTGTGTGTCCAGGTCAATGGCGTTTGCAAGGCCATTCCTTCTTTGTAACTCAGTATTCAGGCTCCATGTGTGGGGGCCCCATATTTTAGGGATGAAGTGGGCTTGAGGACTCAGAATTAACGTCACTCTGGAGTAGGATATGAAAAGGTTTTACGCTGCTTCCCTTATCCCCCAGCAATTTGGAATCAATACTGTGTATAAAAACAGCTCAGGCTAAAGAGACCCTCCATATCTCCTTGTAAAATATTTACAAACCCAATTTTGCTAGGACATCAATCTCTGAAGTGCTATCCCCGAGGCTTCGTTCCATTGTTTATTTCATTATTTTGGTTTGTTATTCATGGTCGGGCACAAACTTTATTTTATTTTTTAATGTTTTTCGGTGGCTTCTCCTGTCTTGTTAGAGAGCTTTACAATTCTAGCGCACGCCTTACGAATCAAGGTTCCTAAGCAGTGAGTCTGAGTCCTTTGGTTAACATCCGGGTAACACTTCCCGAGGGAAGTTCCCACAGAGCAGCTAGGGCTGTGATTGCTTCAACCCAGAGGCCCAGCCTCCTCCACGCTCTCCCTCGCTTTCCACATGTCGGAGTCCGCAGGCAAAGGAGGAACTGCGAGGGAGGTGCGTGGCTGTTCACTCACCATGAAGAGCTTCCCTTCTCTTCCCACAGGCGAATGAGGTATTTCTACTAACCCATCAGTCTTTCCTCCCGTCCTTTTACTACCCACCTACTAACAGGCCGGGTCTGAGGAGACCCTGTGTATCTATATACATGGCAAACTAACATATAAATACATACATACAAAACCGTTCATGACATCCAGTATCCAGATGAGGAAGCACAGGTGCTTTGTGGAACTAAATAAATTTCAAACATAAGTTAAAATGAAAATACAGTGTTTACACTTCGGCAGGAAACATAAAAAAAAAAAAAAAAAAAAAAAAAAACAAGCCCAAAGTTCCCACTCTCTCCTCAAGGTCCATGGCCGTGGATGACTGGTGAACCCACACAAGGAGACGCAACAAGTCCACGTCCACGACGTGTCAGCTTGTGGCTTTGGTATTGCACGCTCAGACTGCGGGCGCTCCGATTCCAGGAACAGCCCCCACCAGGCGGTGCTTGCAGAGGAGGTTGAAAAGGGGCTTTCGCATGGCCATCGGGGACTTCCCGCTATGGTGTCCCTCTCCTCCCCACCTCCCACGTTCTGCCGGTGGGAGAATCAGGCTCAAGTTAGTGGAGACCTCCACAGTCTCTGAGAAACAGTGCCACCTCCGTGCCAGGGGACGCTTTCCACTAGAAATACCATGTCCGGGGTTCAAGGTGAAGCAACCGTATCTTTTCATTAGTGTCCCCACCCTGCAGGATGGCACAGGGACCTGGAAGTCGGCCAGGGCGTGGGTTTGCCTAAAGGTTAACATTTGTTCTAAGTTTTAAGAGAACCGAGGGGAATGGTGGTGACTAATGTGAACAAATCTTGGCATTTTTCTCACGAGGGCCAAGGTGTGGGCACCAAGCTCTACAGCGAGGACACACAGAGACAAGACGCAGGCTGGCAGGGTCCCCTCTGCCAAGGACAAGCCGAGAGTCTGTCTCTGCCACAGGGGATGGCATCTCCATTGAAAGCAGGGCAGAGGGGAACCAGAGGAAGTCCCTGCCGGCCTCGGGGACTCTACCGCTGTCCGGCCTCGCGGATGCGACAGGCCACCGCCGTGATGAGGGCCGCCCCCTTCCCGCTGCCATCCTCCGACTCCAGGAAGGACACGTCACACTTCGGGGCCAGGTCCTTCACGGTCGCGTGCATGACTTTGGCGAAGCTGGAGGTTGGGAAGAGAAGGCGAAAAAAAACCTTAGTCACGACTGCTCTGTGTCCCAGAGATGTGACCCTATGAAGTGATGCTGGAAACCCAGGAATACTTAGATGAAGAAGAGAATGGCAGCTGCTGTGGACTAAGTAAACACTTACTACAAATTGCACATCAGAAAACAGAGGCTTGGAGCCACGGGTGAAATGCCCAAATGCTACATCAGAGCGGGCTAAGATTTTAACTTCATCATCCCCCCATTCCCATTCCCATCCTTCTCCACGCATGCTCCCACCCCCCTGTTGTCCTTGACCACTGGTTAGGCTCATATGTATGCACACAAGTCCTTTGGTTGTTCTCTTCCCTTTATCCCCATCCTCCCCTACACTCCCTCTGAGGTCCTACAGTCTGATCCATGCCTCCCTGTTTCTGGGTCTGTTCTTGTTCATCAGTCTATGTTGTTCATTAAGAGCTATGTTCTTAAAAAACTACTCAGTGAAAGAGGAGTTCCTTCAACCCTCCTGGCTGCCACAGGTGTGCACAGCCTGGTCATAAACTCTGGAGGGAAGGACCGCCCTGCAGCCCCACTCCCCACATTCTATTTTCCAAAAGTACTGACTCACATCAGACCCAAGTGAGTCCAAAATGTCAGTGAAGGCAAAAGGAGCAGCCTCAGGGGGTTGCTGCTGGGACAGGACCAGGTCTGTCACAGGGTGGGGACCTGTGACGCCAGGACAGAGGCTCCCAACACCCCCCAGTGCTGGTTGCTGGCATTGTCCGTTTCCCAGCCATCACCTGGGACTAAGGCTCCTATTGTCACCGTGACAATGAGCTTCAGCAACAGGGACTCGGGACTTCTCAAGGGCTACTCTGTTCACTAACTGTGTAAACTCTGGGCAAGTCCCTCAGCTCCTTGAAGCAACCCCAGTGACAGCAGGTAACAACTCAATAAGTTTCTCCTCCCTCACTGCATCCCACCTGTAGTCCAGGCCAGGAACACAGCTCTATTATTTTAGTTTTTAGCTGAAAAGCTTCCAGGGGAGAAGGACTAAGACATTCCCTGTGTTCCAATCAAACTTTATTTACAAAAAGCTGAGGCTGTAGCTTGCCAGGCTGTGCTTTACACGTATAAAAACTTTGCCCCAGAAATGTATGTTTCAGTATACATATACTAAATGTTCACCGGAGCACTTTCTGCAATCCCATATAATAAAAGGCTAATATGCAAACTGTCCTCTCAACTGGGAGTTCAACCAGGTTATACCCCATCCATGCACAAATTCGTGCACCAGGCCTCTAGCAGTTAATATCTAAAAACAACCCAACATTCAACAGCCATAGAATAACACAGGTATTATTACAGCCCTGGAAATGAATGAACTAAAATGGATACTTCCAGAAGGATGCATGTCCAGACCATAAATGCTGTGTAGGGAAAGTCAGTCCCAAAAGAAGAGATGCCATATGATTCCCCTAAGAATCATATGGTGGGCTCAAAATTATGTAGGTGCATACATAGATACATGGGAGAAAGGAAGCAAGGGATGGAGCCACCATAGCACTTATCCCAGGCAAGGAACAGCGAACAGTGCAACTGGGAAGGGGCTCACAAGGCAGTTGGGTGGGGAAAATGACCTACTTCTGGTCATTAATCTAATCTATAACATAATACTCTTTGGAATGCCGATGGCTTGCTCTAGGGGAAAGAAAAGAAAGAAGAGAGAGAAGGGGGGAAAGATGGGCAGAGAGTGTGGTCACTCACTGAGGATGGAGCTTGTAGAGGGTTCCGTCCACACCCACTGTCACTTTCAGAGTGTCCAGCCCACGGTTTTCTCGTATTTTGTCCACCACGGCGGCCATGCCTGCGCCACAGAGCTGGGCTGCCCGCCGTGCCACGACGGTGCACACCTCCTTGACGATGATGCTGTCATCACAAGTGCTCTCGAGCCCCAAGTGGTGCAGGATGGCTCGGACCTGCAGCAGGGCCAGGCAGTCACTGGGGTGGGAGGGAGACAGCAAGTGGTCAGTCACGTGCCATAGGGGTCAGAGTCCACTCTAGGAGCCTGGCCATCCAGGAGCTGGTGTAAAGGCCAGCACCCTGCAAGGTGGCTCCTGTTCCGAGCTCATCCCGTGGGACCACACAGACTCCTCCTGGGTGCGGCTGAAACACGAAGAAGCAGCTCCCTGTTCCACTTGGCCTAGATGAGGTGCAGCAATGCTACTGCAGAAATGATACACAAAACTAAAGGAAATTCACTGTCTAGGTATTCCACTCACTTGGACATAATAAAGACAATAATAATAATAATAATAATAATAATATGTGGTGATTGCAAAGTCTCTCAAGTCCCTTCTCTCAATGCTGTGCATGGGTCAGCAGGACAAGCATCACTGGCCAACATCAGATCCATGTTCTATTCCTACTCCCCCACCCTGGATGATCTGAATCCACTTGAGTACTATTTACAAAACAAATGCAAATAAAATTGTAGGAAGAAAAGAAACCCTAATGTACTTGGTATGACTTGAGCTGTGGAAATCCTTCAGCGTGTCTGTCCATGAAGAGGACATATTCACACCATCCTCTAGGACTGAAATCCTCACCTCTCAATCTGAGACAGGAACTTGGTTTCAAAGATCCCCCTTGTCTTGAGTCGCTCTGAGATGCGTCCACGGAAGAGCAGCCCGCGCTTGGTGAAATCAATGAGGATGTTCCGGACAATCTCGCCCAAGTACATGCCACTGATCATTTTCTCAAACCTGCAATGTGGGTGACATCCATGGAGATTAAGTGGGAAGGTGGTAGAATGTGATGAGACACGAGAGACCAATTCAGTCCCCTGACCATGTGACAGCACAGGGCATGCAGATTCCCCTTGGTGGGAAAGGACATGCTACCCGATTCACAGGATTCCTTGTGTTCGGTGAAGCTGGCTACAGTGCCAGAGGCCCACAGGGTCCTTGGGATTGGCCCATCTTTCCAAAGCTTATTCCTGATGCCTCAAGAAGGAATATAAACCCAAAGTGACCACCCTTCCAGGAGAAGGGGAGGAGCCTTAATCTTTAATCTCACTAGGCGTTTAGCATGCTTAAGTACACCTAGTCATTATCAGTCAAGTAACTTGTGCCAGCTGGAGTCGTCCTGTCCTGGCCATCAAAATGGTATGTGATGACTCAGTGGCTGAGGGCCTTTGGGCCCCGAGGAGTGCCTTACAAAAGCCGAGGAGGTGCCCAGTTTCAACCAAGACCCCATTGCTACTTGTCTTGCTTTACCTCAGCGTGTCCTTCACTAATGTTGTCTGTGATCTCTACTCTAGACAGATGTTTTGCAAAGTGTATTGCACAGTATATTGGTCCCTGATTGATGTGGTTAGGAACACGACATCCTCTTAGTGGGAAGCATGCTGGATCTTACACTAGTCTCTCAGCTCAGATTCCCTCACACCACACTAGGGGCTTTGTGGTGCTTCCTGGGGCTGTCCCCTCATCCAGTCCTGACAACAGAAGGTGCAACATACTTGATGGAGGGAGGAAGAGGAGGAGGAAGAGGAGGAGGAGGAGGAGGAGGAGGAGGAAGAGGAGGAGCAGGAAAAGGTCTGCTCCTGCCTGCTTCTTGTTCCTGTCTGCCCCTCCCCAGCGATGCTTCCTTCTTCTCCCTGGTAGCATGACTGGTTCAACTTTCATTTGTTTTTCCCACCGTCCCAGACTTAGGTCCCAACTCTCTCTCCTGACTGTTCTCACAGTCCTAGGGGTGGGAGCTGCTGCTTACATGTACTAACTCTGTGTCCCCTTTGTCTTTTCATCTCTCTAAAACCTCCATGACCAGTCCCCTGTATGAAATCCCCTTGCGATATACTGTTGTGATTTGTTTTCCCAACTGGGCTTGGAAAGCATCACTGTCCAGCAGGGGGGGAAAGGACCCAGAACTTTCCAGATGTATTGGATAAGAAACCCATCCCAAAAAAATCCTTTCTTTCTATTAACATCTCAAGAGAAAGAACATTGTGGGATTTGCTGTAGTAGAGGAACAGATTACTTGTCTCTATCCAGTTCTGGGATACACGACCCAGAGGCCACAAGCAGTTGGGCACCTACCTCTGTTTGCCCGGGTTGAGGGAAAGCTCATCCACAGCCACATCAAACTCCGTGCGGAACTCATCCAGGCACCCATTGTCCCCGAAAGCTCCCCATTCCATGTTGACGCACATCCGCCCCTCTTCCCCATCCACCAGCTCCACGTTCCGCATCTCCTCCATGTAGCAGGCATTGCTGCCCGTGCCTGCCAATCACAGAGATGTCAGGGCCTCACACAGCACCGCCTCCCACCCACCCGAGGCCAGGTGACCCCATCGGGGAAGGACGGCCTAGGTCCTTACCAACAATGAGGCCAACTTCACAGTGAGGGTCTTCGTAGCCACAGGTCATCATAGTTCCGACTGTGTCATTCACCACAGCCACCACGTCGAGGTCAAACTCCTGAGAGGGCAAAAGCAGATCCCCAGTCCACAAATGAATCACAATATCTTGCTTTACCTCAGCGTGTGTCCTTCACTAATGTTGTCTGTGACCTCTACTCTAGACAGATGTTTTGCAAAGTATATTGCACAGTACACTTGCAAGGGAGATTTCCATGAACAGAAGACGCATACAGCATGGCTCATTCTCTTTTCATGCAGGTCTCTGCTCAAAGATCACCTCCTCAGAGGACTTCCCTGGTTATAACTATTGAAAAGAGTGCCCCTTCCCCAACCCATTCACTATGTTCTCGCCCAACTTCATTTCTCATCATAGCTCTACAGCACTGGCATTAGCTTCTGGGTTCGCTTACTGGACGAGAGTCTGTTATGGTTGTTCCTAAGTCCCCAGGGCCAAGAGCAGGCTTGACACACAGCAGGCACCCACAAACGGCTGAAGGACTATGTTACTTCTCCACCTGACCAACTCAACCGCTCTCAACACTTCCCCACGCTCTGCACACACAGGCCCCGCCGTGTCTCTCCCACCTCTCGCCGATGGATGGCTTCCTTCAGCAGGCTCACCACGTCCTCACCCTCGCAGCCAGATGCCTTGAAACCTTTTGTCCACTTGAGGAGGATGCTCTAAAAATCACACAGAGCTATAGTTAGTGCATCAGAGAAGGACACTCCGGTCATTCCCTTATACCAGATCTACAGATGCCCTTTGGTAACCCACCATCTCGCCCACCATGATTCCAAACAGGCGTGTTTCCCGTACTTGGATTTACTGAGGGCCTACAATGTACCAGGCGAAGCACATCTCATGCTTCACAGCATTTAATCCTCACAGCAACCCTGTGCAATATTGTCTTGCCCATCTTACAGGTAACTATGGCTCTGAAATAACTGGCCGAAGGCCTGCAGCCTGGAGAAGAGAAGCAGACTTACTCCCAGGCCCAGCGACTCCAATGGCTGGGCCACAAGCATCACACAACTGTGCCTACCATAGAACTAAGTTCTACATGTTTATTTCTTCGCTGGGAAAGGCAGTGTACCCTGCCCCCATCTACATCTACATCAAACTAAGGAAACAGTGAACAAATGCCCTGCCCATGGTTGAGGTGACATCTAAGCTTCACCACCCTCCCAGTAAGGGAAGCACTCGAAGCTCTTGGAATACCCCTTCCCCTTCTCCTCTCCCTCCCCTGCCCCCTCCAGCCCTCTCATCCTTATTGTGGCCCTGAGCCAGGCCATGGGCCCCTCCGGGAACAGGTAACATAGTAGCTTTGACAGGAGAGAAATGTTCAAAAGAGAAAGGGTTTTGTTCCCTGGTTTCCTCTTTGCTGCTATCAAGAAACAAATATGAAGGTTCTGCTAGCGTGGGTTCAGTGGTTGAGTGTTGATCTATGAACCAGGAGGTCATGGCACATGCCCAGGTTGTGGGCCCAATCCCCAGTGTGGGGCATGTAGGAGGCAGCCAATCAATGATTCTCTCCCATCACTAAAGTTTCTCTCTCTCTCTCTCTCTCTCTCTCTCTCTCTCTCTCTCTCTCTCTTTCTCTCTCTCTCTCTCCCCCCCCTCCCTCCTTCTCCCTTTCTCTTCCTCTCTGAACCGATGTAACAGATATTGGGAAACACTGAGTTAGGCAGGGTTTCTAAGGCAGATCGGCCCCAAACCTTAGCTGGCTTAGTGCACACAATGAATCTGGCTCTCCCAGGGGAGGAATAGGAGGCAGTTCAAAACAGCTGAGCCACCTGAGGGTTGCTGTAGAAAACTCTGTCCTTCTCACCATGGGGTCGAGCTCACGGAACCTGTGACTGTTCCACCTACATGCCCTCCTCCCCACTGCAGGCTGCTTGCCTTTCAGCCCTATCAGCCCCTCCACCTGACTGAGATGGTCCAAGGATTCCTCAGGCCCTCCATGCATGTGCTCAGAACACATTACACCACGCCTCCCCAGGACTTTTGCACCCATTGGTAACAAAGGGCAGCTCTGGCTTTCCTAAGCTTGCTTCATCAGTCCAGTCTCTTTGGGAGCACCCAGAGCAGGAGCTATGCCTCTGGTCCCCTGGCAACTCCACCTACAGCTCACTACCCACATGCACCAGGCACGCAAGCTTCCCAGAAAAAACAGAAGAACAACAGCTTCAATGACAGTATTTTGCCACCTAATAGACCAAGTATGGACTCAGATCAAGCCTGAGCACCACCTACTCGGACTCTGGACACTTCTCAACACACCCATGTCCAGAATACCTGGGAACACCGGTACTCGCCACTGGCTTCATTCATCCAAGGAACTGAAAGCAAAGGTGAGACTAGAGAAGAGCGAGGGCACCCAAATGACCCGAGATGAATGAAAATGTCCTGAGCCCAAAGCAAGAGCCTCAGGAGCAGCTGAGCTTCACTGAGAGCATGGACTTAGGTGTCAGGAAACCAGAATTCAAGTCGTGGCTTGGTAGTTCCGAAGCTATCTGACCTGGACTAGGTTTTGCAACCTAAGAAACGGTGGATTTTAATATTGGGCATTGCTATAGACCTTATTTTCCTTTCTGCAGAATGGGTGTACAAACACCAACCTTATAAGTTGCCATGAGGATTAAGTGAAATAATGTGTGTAGAAAGCCTGGCCCAGTACCTGACATAAAAACTGCTTTAAAAATGTTAATATCTTGATTAGCATCCTCATTGTGATTCCAAAGATTGCTTGTTGCAGCCGAGCGAAGCTAGTTATCCTCGGCCAGCTCTGACTCACTCGTTCCCACCAACAGGCCCCTCCTCCAGACGGCTCACGCATGCCCTTCTTTTCCTCCTCTAAGCGGAACCGTGTGGCTGGTATACAGTCCATAAAACCCACAGCACAGCCCTCCAGGAAGGGCCTCTTACCTCATCCAGGCTGTTCTGCTGGCAGGGGAAGGAGAAGGTGAAGCCCAGGGGCAGGGACACGCCCTTCATGCCCATGTACTCCAGGAAGTCGGCGATGCACTGGACGATATGGTCAAAGAGCTGCGGGGAGAAGCAGCGCTCTCAGGGAGGGGCCCTTGGCCAGGGCAGGCTTCCCCCAGCAAGGCCCGAGCACGAGCGAGGCCTCCACCCAGGAGAAATGCAAGCCAGGTGCGATCCTGAGTAAGGCCAGCCCTGGATCCTGGCCCACCTAGCCCTCCCGGGACCATGGTGAGCAGAGGGAGCAATGCCCTCCCAGGGAAGAAGGGGATGTCTGCTGGGGTCCCCTCCCAGGTGCTGCCCTGCCTCACCTCGTCCCCCGTGCCGTGCATGACCTCCTGCGGGATGGCGTAGATCTTGTTGTGCATCTCCACTCCCCGCCGCTTCCCGTTCCGCACACGCACCAGCAGGACCCGGAAATTGGTGCCCCCGAGGTCCAAGGCCAGGAAATCACCTTTCTCTGAAAACAAACCCAGGAAGATGATGACCATGTGACCCCAGCAGAGAGTGACACGGTCTTTCCCCTCATGGGGAGGTCCCCTCATGGGGAAGGAGGGAGCCCTCCACAACCTCAGGGGTGACGGACTGTGAGCTCCACTAACAGTAAAGAACAGAAGCCCCCAGGACCAGAGACATGCTGGCTCCTTAGTGATTCTCAAATGAGTTCGGGGGTGGGGGTGGGGGGGTGCCCAAAAGACACAATGACCTGTGCATTCACAACAGAGGAAAGGGAGACCGTGCACTCAAAAACATCTAACATGCCATTCATTGCTAAGTCAAAGGCCACCTTATTTAGACTAGAGAAGGAACAGCAGAGACAAACACCCTCCTTTGTTGGGCAATCACCATGTGCTCCTCCCTCACACAGAGCTCACAGCAACCCTGAGGCAGCAAGCACTGCGTTCCCCTCTGATGAGAGCCCACGACCCAGCTGACCTAGGGGGAGGCACTTGCTGGAGGCCACACAGCCAGCAGAGGGTGGAGCACGGGCCAAGTTCCAGTCTCTGCCTCTGGAACGTATACCGAGTGATTGTTTCCAATGAATTGGGGGGCAGGGGTGGGGGGGGGGAAAACTGCCATCATTTTGGTCGTGAGACGTAAACCAGGGGTCAGCAATATTTTTCTGTAAAGGGCTGGGCCTTGTAAGCCGGTCTTTGCTGCAACCACATGGCTTTGCCATGGTAGTGCAAAGCAGCCATAAACAATACGTGGACAAATGGGCAAGACTGTGCAGAAATAAAACTTTATTTACAAAAAACAGATGGTGGGCCAGATTCAGTCTGTGGGCCTTAGAGTGCCAACCCTTGACCTAGGGTTTACAAGAGCTGACACTGAACCAAAATCCCTGGGTTTAAATTCCAGCTCTGCCATTTTCCAGCTGTGTGAAAGGGGCAGGTTTCTTTATTTCTCTGTGCCTTAGCTCTGTGCCAACCATAACAGTTTGTTGACAAACAAAATTAACTACTAATCTCTGTTAGTAGATAAAGATTAAATGAATTGACATGTGTTTGGCACATAGTAAGCATTAAATCACCACAGCTCAAATTTTAGCCTTGATTGAGCTTATTGAGCATTAGAATTTCCTAGTACAGATGGTCCCCAATTCACAATGGTTTGACTTAATGATTTTTTTTTTACTTTACCATGGTGTGAAAACAATTCACATTGAGTAGAACCCATACTTCGAATGCTGACCTTTACCGGGGCTAGTGATGTAATATAATACTCTTGTGATGGCAGCGGCAGCGAGCCACAGCTCCTAGTGAGCCATCGATCACCAAGGTAAGCAGCCAGTGCTCCACAGTGTATTCATGTGTCAGATGATTTTGCCCAAGTGTAGGCTAATGTACACAAGTGTTCTGAGCACATGTAAGGTAAGGCTTGGCTAGGCTGTGAGGTTCGGTAAGTTGGGTGTATTAAATGCATTTTTGACTTATGATGAGTTTATTGGGATGTAACACGGTCTTAAGTGGAGGAGCATTTGTTCTATAGTTGGAGATATATGTTCTGGTCCCAACATCCAAGGCTAAGGCTAAGGAGTTCTCCAGAGTGTCAATACCGGGACAAAGGCCCACCGTGGTGAGCTGAGTGGCAGCCCGGCCATTACCTGTGCCATCAGGGGTGGCACACACATAGGTGGGCAGCATCTTGACCGGGGCCACAGCATGAGTCTCCTTGCTCAGACCTCGCTCCATCTCTAGCTTCATCCTCTTCTTGACTTCCAGCAGCTGCTCCCGGCTCAGCTTCAGAGACTCCAAGATCTTCTGCCGGGCCCGGTGTTGGTCGGCCAGCCGGTAGGCCACCGCTGTCACCATGGCCGCCCCCTTGCCACTGCCATCCTCGGAGCGGAGGAAGCGGACGTCGCAGTCCGGCACCAGGCGCCGCACAGTCTTGTGAAGTCGCTTGGCGAAACTGCAGTCACCGAGACGGGGTGAGAAGTGAGTGTGCACAGCCAGGGTCAATGGTGCTGATGGTTGGAGCGTTAGTGCACCATCTCCACACAAATGCCAAGAGGCACCCGCAGAAGCAGATGTGCCCGAACATCCCCTCCCCACTCTTTCCCAAGTTAGAGGTCACTGTACAAAAGCTCAGGTGTCCAACTATGCCCACCCTGGCTGGGTCCAATGCCTGCTGAAAGGGAAGACTCTTTTAAAAAGCCACTATCCCCTGCAGACGGTCACAGGCCACAGCTTCTCTGCCCCACCCAGTATCCTCTTTGCTGGAAGAGCCCAGTAGAATCAGGTGATTCTGATCCCAACTACTATTCATGTTTCATCATTCATTTCATTAGATGCTCCCCGGGAAAGACCCAAATCAAAAAAAGTTGAATGCTATTCTGGATTTGGGTGTCTTTGGCCAATTCCTGCCACAAAGATTCCCAAGATGTCTGAACAGGTAGGTATGCTCAGCAAGAAATTCTTGGGTGGTGGCTGCTTTGAGTCATGACCTCCCAGGACCTCACCACTGCAGGTGTGGTTTGTGGGCCCACAGCATCCTGAACCAAGAACTTCTGAATCAGAACCGGCCTCTTGGCAGGATCCCCAGCTGATCTGTGTGCACTCTAAAGTGCGGGAAGCCCTGGACTGGGAGGCCAGGGACTCAGTGGGGGGGCTGAGACTTTTCTGCACCAGACAGTTGAGTCAATGAAGGCCCACCGACCTGGCACTCCTAACAGGTGACCACAACGGCTAAGTGGACACAACAGAGAGAGATCTGGGTCCCAGCTGAAACTTGCATAGTTTTGCACTTATGACCCAAGGAATCAAAACATGAAGGCTTCTGTCCTCTGTAAAATGTTTGGGTGTTTAAATCCTTATAAAGCTCAGATTATCCGGGTGCCACCAAAATAAATAAATAAATAAATAAAAATCATGAAGGACCGGGAAGAATTAATTCAATACCCAGATCAGCCAGAGAGGCTGATAATCCACTGGGCTGGGTGGCTCCAGGCAGAGGACACAGTATCTGAGATTCAAAAAAATAAGTGAAGAGAAACACTAACTCCTAAACAAGAGGGTGGCAACAAGCGCCCCAAGTGGCCAGGAGAGCTCTGAGTAGACCCACCCACCCCCGACTCCAGTGGCCAGCAGCCTTCAGAAATCACCTCCATCCTCGCCAAGGTCACCCTCCCAGCTCCCACTTGCCTAGCTGGGAGCTTTATTCTACAAAGACCCTCAACTCCACGGTCCATCTCCACCACCCAGAATGTAAAACAGAGTTGGCATCTAGAGTCACTGGGGTCTCTCTTGAGGTTGTCAGGGGTCCCCGAGTGCCCTGGGAGCCCCATCCCTCCGGGTCCCGCACGCTGACTCACTGGGGGTGCTTCTTGTAGACAGAGCCATCCACCCCGATGGTGGAGCGCAGGCGCTCCTCGCCCTTGTTCTCCTTGATGCGCCGCAGCACAGCCGCCAGGGTGGCTGCGCACAGGCTGGCGGAGCGCGTGGACACGATCTGGCAGATGCGGTGAGTGGCCACGCAGTCCTCCTGGGTCGGCTCTATGCCCAGCCGCACCAGGACCTCATGAGCCTTCCGGATACCGTCCTTCTCCCTGGGAAACAGAAAAAGAGCGGGTGGGCACGTGTCCAACCCTCTGTGGCCAGTGGGAGAGGAGTAGGGGGAGGGAAGGGGGTTGTTTGGCCAGGAAACCCGCAGCTTCAGCAAATGTCATCTCCCAGGGAAGGCAGATGCCCGCTTCACTGCTCCGCCCACTGATGAGGGAATTGAACAAAGAGGAGAAACACAAGGCTCCTCTCCTAGACAGACACTCTGCCCTCCCTCCCCCCAGGTGAGTAAAACTATTTAAAAAATAGACTTGTTCTCAGGGCTTTAGATACTAATTTGTGTGTAAGAGTTTGTGCGTTTGCTTGTGTTGTGGGGTAGAGGGAAGAGTGTCCCTGCTACCCACCACCTCCCTCGGTGTGATCCCAGCTGTGGAGCCCACCCTACTTCCTTTTTTTTTTTTTTTTTTAATATATATTCTATTGATTTTTTTTTTTTTTTTTACAGAGAGGAAGAGAGACTGACAGAGAGTTAGAAACATCAATGAGAGAGAATCATCGATCAGCTGCCTCTTGCACACCCCCTTCTGGGGATGTACCCACAACCAAGGTACATGCCTTTGACTGGAATCGAACCTGGGACCTCTCAGTCCGCAGACCGACACTCTATCCACTGAGCCAAACCGGTTTGGGCCCACCCTACTTCTGTAAATAGACTTTCAGAGTCTATTGCATTTCAAGACGGAGTGGGCACTGCTTTCACTCGTGCTAAAGACGGTCATGAAGGGCTGGTGTTGCAAGAGAAGCACAGTGCTTAGGGGAACTAAGTGCCTCACAAATTTTAGGACTTTCCTCCCCTCAGGGTTTAACAAGTAGGAACAGTTCCTTCAAGAGTTTCCATCTCCAGTCATTTGAACTGTTTCACTGCTTCCTTTACACCCAAATTACCTCCTCTCCACCCAAATTACCTCCTCTCCACCAGCTGGTCTCTGAGACAGGGCCACCTCCAGCCACAAGTGGCCCCAGGAACAGGAGACAAGGCCCAACTCTGAATATTGTTCAATGGAAGACCAAAATGAGGCCACCCTCGCTCCCACCCCTGCTGCTCCAGGAAAACGCAGCCTCGGCTCCAGCTACTGGAACTAAATGGGTATCTCTCTGGGTCACCCAAGGACCTGTTCTTCGGTTATGTAGCAGGGGTCAGAATGGAGTCCTTTTTGAGAATCACCAATAGAGAATGAAATGTCAGAGTGTCAGAAGGGAAAGGAAATGGATGGAAATGAGTCGTTAAGGGGCCCAGGGGGAGCCTCTAGCATTAAGCCAAGACCCCAACCCCCACTCCACACCAAGCAGGAATGCAAGTGTGACATCTCTGAGCATGGAGGCCAGTCAGCACCAGGAGGCACTTTGGAAATCAGCACGCTTAATGGACTAGAGTGGAGACTATTTGTTAAGTGACCTCAAACCACTGGCTTCCCCATGGCCCAAGTTGGGCAAGAGTTTGACCTTGACCTCAAACCCCTCTTGCTGTCCACATTTGAGGGGTCAAAGGCCAATGCCCCTTCTTCATCCCCAATGGCCTGACCACTCTTCAGTGGAAAGAGAGGAACCCAAAAACTTACCCTTCAATATCTGAAACATCTTTGGTCTCAAAGCGGCCCTTGGCGAGGAGCTCAGTGCTGAGCTTCCCCCTGAAAAGCAGCTCCTCCTTGGCCATCTTCACCAGGATAAGCCTCACTAGTTCCCCCATGTACATCCCACTGATCATCTTCTCAAATCTGCAGGGATACACACACCAGAAAACCAATGAAGTCCCAGCAGCCTGTGAGCTCTCAACTTCCCGGAGGAGGCAACATGCACACATGTGCAACTTCAACAATGTTAGAGGCTGATGCACATGGGAGGGTTAACTTGTGTGGCACCACCTGGGAGTAAGCTGTATGAAGTGACAGCCCGGGCAAGGTTGGAGGAGCTGGGGAGCCTGGGCTGTCTCCGCAGGCAGGTGGGCCTTGAACTGTGGAGAGGATGGGCCAATAGCAGGCAAAATATCAAGGAGTGTGGGACATCCTATCTAATAAAATGGTAATGTTGAAATTAACCATCACCCATCATAAAAATGGTGGTGCAAGATGGCAGTGCCCAGTCCTCTCAGTCCCGCTGGAGTCCTCCAGTCCTGGGGGGCAGCTGCTGAGAGCAGGCATCATGAGCAGCCTGGCAGAATGTGTGCTTCATTGCTGCAGTGACGAGGCAAGTGTTCCATGCCCGGCCATCGATGGGCCTCTGGCCAGGCCGGGACACGGATGGGCCTTTAAGCCACGGAGAGCCTCTGGGCAGCGGGCACGGAGTGGCCAGGCCCTGCAGAGAGTTAGTGGTACACGGATTTGTGCTCAGGGCTACTAGTTCTGTAATAGTCTGAAACTTCAGTGTAGTAAGTTACACACAAGGTAGTGAGTTTTATAATTTTTTTTCTCTAGCAAGGAAGTGATTTTTGAAAATGAAACCTAATGTAAAATGAACCCCAATATTTATTTACAAGACAGAAAGGTCCATATGATTAAATTGGGGGGGGGGGGGTGTAAGCCCAGCAATTCATCACCTCACACAGCCCCTAATCAATCTTGCAGGCCATTTGTGAATTCCTAACGTGTAAAAAACTCTGAGGGTTTAAAGAGAAGGAATGATGGGGCAAGATTAGAAAAGCAGGTTGGGCGGCTTCGAAAGAGCTCAAAATGCCTTAAAGTTTCTCAGAAATAAGGGAGTGAGAGATGCTGCAAGTTCCTGAGCAGGCAGGTGATAAGATAAAGCATGTTTGAGAACTACCAACATAGTTGCCCAAGCTGAGAGGGCAATCAGGGAATTTATTTCTTCGCCACTAGATGGCACTGTTATCTTCAAAAGACAGTCTTCCTGTCTCAGACTGTGATGAGAAACTAAGCCTTTACAATTCTTCTTGGCAAAGAAGGCCCTTTCTCCATATCTCAGAAAGGATCTGGATGCTAGGGAGAGGAGGCCCTGGGGGCCTGCAGGCACTAACTGGGCCAGGCTTCACCCAGGAGGCCCACAGCGGGGCTGGGGAAGGGACTCAGATGTCTCTTGGTGCTGTCTACAAGAGAGGAAGTTGGGCCATCAGGAAGGGACTTGCTCAAGATCCAAGGTCAAGCATGGCAGAATTAGAGCTAAGTGAAGAGCTAGCTAAACTGCTTAAACAGAGGATGCATTTCAAATGTTTGAGGGCCAGCACAGCCAACTGCCTGGGAGGCAGACCGGCTTCAAGAGCAAGGAACTCGTGTGTGTGTGTGTGTGTGTGTGTGTGTGTGTGTGTGTGTCGATTTCTCTAAATAGGTGATCTTGTGGGAGGTAGGAAGGGGGTCCAGTGGGGTTCTGAAGTGCGGGCAGTTTTTTAAAGTTTCTAATTCCAGTTTTCAAAAAACACTTTGTTTCCGTCAATGTTTGAAAAATATTTACTTAGAGACATATAAAGAGTCAAAGTTCCTCCTCAAGCCCAAAAATAACCTTGGAACTACCATGGCTGACACTGGGATAGGTCCTCCCAGACTTTGATTTGATCTGTCTAAGGCTGAGCCAGGGGTGGGATGCCAAGGCCGAGCTGGCAATTCTGTCTTCTAACACTTCAAAGGGCACATAACTCCTAGGAATGGCGTGGGTTGTCTCGTCGATGGAGGCAGGCAATGAAAGAGTGACTTTTCAGTCCATAAATTCCTCCCCAGCCATGACAGACATAGCCAGGTTGTTCCTGTGAACGCTACAAGTAAATGGACTCTCGTTTCAGCCTGTGGGAAAGCTTGTGACTTAAATAAACCCTGCATCCTTGGTGGAGCAAGGGCTCTCTCCCTGTTAAGAAAAAGGCCCCCACTGTTGAGCTGGTTTATAGGGTTGGATTTTCCTCTCCAAGCAGAGATCAGCAGCGACAAGCTTTCCTGTCACTCCCAGCAACCAGACCAGAGAGAGCCTGAGCTGCTGCTCAAGGGGTTTTGTAATTGCCTGTGAAGCTTGCAGCAACCCCTATTTCAAGATCTTTAAGGGACATTTGGAAAACATTTGTGAGAGTGAAAAATGTTTTGTAAGAGTCAAAAGTAACCAAATACCACGCCTGGCCAGGCTGGGGAGTGTAATATTCAGGGCCCAGATGGAGCCCTTCCTCCAGATAGTTCACCTCAGGGCCCCTGCTCAGCCACAGGTCCAGGGAAGGTGGCCAAGGAGGCCTTGGGTCTGGGTACTGCTGGGGTGAGAGGCCCTGGGACTCCCATGGGGTCCAGCTGAGCTCAGAGGCAGCTCTACTGGAGCTCTAAGTCAGGGCCTCAGCCAGTCATTAGGGCCACCTGTCACAACCTCGCTCTCATCTGGGCCATGAAGGGGTGGGAGCTACAAAAGGAGTTTCCACAGGCCCACATCTTGGCCATCTGAACACTTTTCTATGTGGCTCAAACTGTTTCTAAGGGTAACTTGCAAAATGAAGGTGGAAAGATAGAGCCGGGCCACCCACTTAAGACTCAGAATATGACTTTCTGAAACTACTGTTCTGAAGGATAAAGCACATTATTACCTGGTGTGGCTGCCTGCTCTGTCTTGTTTAGAGTCCCTTCAGAAATTTACAGTCACCATGAGCACAAATTCCCGTGACCAATGGGCACCTTGGCAACCTTTGAGGGATAGGACTGTAAAGCAAAAAGGAGAACCACCACCCAGCCTGGCAGCTCCCAACCAACTCCTGAGCCCACTCTCCAAGCCCTCTGCTCACAGTTGCTTTCCGGGGTTCAGGGAGCCCATGTCGATCTCCTGGTCAAACTCAGTACGGATGTCATCAAGCACGCCGTCATCCCCAAAGGCCCCCCATTCCATGTTGATGCACATCCGCCCCTCATCGCCTTCCACCGTGTCAATATGGCGCATCTCTTCCATGTAGCAGGCATTGCTGCCCGTGCCTGTCCAAAGCAAGAGACTGCTCAGTGCATATCCACAATGTCCTCTGCCCACACCCATCTCTCACTTGTCCCACAATTTTGATATTGCCCAGGCATTCCTCCGAGCAGACTACTGGGCCATGGTCCACTCCAACATGGTCCACTCCATTAACACCCCCAACTCCATTCGTACTGGCTCAGCCCTCCAAAGTGACTATACCACTATCTTCCAAAATGAAGTACAAAGGGACATCCAGGCCATGGACCCCTTCCCCTCCTCCCTTTCCAGCCCACACCCCACTCCATTGGCCAATATCAGCCCTCACACCCAGTGCTCTCGTACCCACAATGAGACCAATCTCGCAGTTCTGGTCATCATAGCCACAGGTCATCATGGTCCCAACTGTGTCATTCACCACAGCCACAATATCAATATCAAAGTCCTGCAGAGGGAAAAGGAGAGATCTGACCTTCACCATCACAGAAAGGTCACAGATGTGAAGATGGAGAGAAAGAGTAGCAAGACACACAGCTTAAGAGTAACAGGACTGCCTCCTGATTAACCCTACTCAAAACCAAAGAAAAGTTATAGCTGGAAATCAGGTCCAGATCGAGCCCAACAGCTGCATCTCACTCCTCATCCTGGAGGGCTTCCCGACACCAGCCCTGTGGTCCAGTTCAAAGCCATCACTGCCCTAAGAATAGCCTGTCATGTCATCATGGTCATCTTCTCTTTCTTCTTTTCCTTTACCTCTCTCTCCCTCCCAGAAAGTCTTATCTTTCTGTGACCTTTGTCTTGTCTTTTCTTTGCCCCATTCCACCCTAATGCCAACAGCACCCCAACTTTCTTACTTGAAAATGATGGTCAAGTCTTCTTCAGATTAAGTACTAAAGGTTCTTCTTGTACCATAGCTAAGATTTTTATCCATCATGATAATGTTAACCCCAAAGATATCTGATCATTTATAAGATTCTTGGGGTAGTAATTATTTTACAATATGTGTATGTGAAATCATTATGTGATGTATCTTAAAATACAGAGCTGCATGTCAATTATATTTCATTAAAACTGGAAGAAAATAAAAATTGAGTAAACATAGCAAGGAAGAAAGAAAACATCACCTAAGAATCACAAAGGTCCTCATACTGTGTTGAGGACAGACTGGGGAAGGCTTCAGAGTAGACTCAAAAGTCCTGCCTCCCTATCCCTGCTGCCCCTACTCACCCCTCTCCTCTGGATGGCCTTCCGGATCAGAGTAACCACGTCTTTGCCTTCCACACCGCTGGACTTGAACCCTTTGGTCCATGAGACTAGGAAACTCTGGGAAAAAACAATGATTGAACATTAATTCCTTACAAAACTCAGACCACACTCCTCAAACAACCATTAGTAGAGGCTCTGCCATGGGGCTAACTAAACTGTTGCCATGCTTGAATGTGTATATTGCTTCCTATCTAGCTTAGGAAGAAACCTGAGTTCGATCAAAGACCCAGAAAGAAAATTAAATTATTTCTTCATGATCAACTGCCCCCGAAGTGAAAAGGGCAGACTATAGAACTGCCAAAATAAGGTATGGCAATCTCTGATGAGACTCCCCAGGCATCTTTCCTACAAAGATATTTATCACAAAACTTTAGATCAAAAGAATTCCTGACTAATTTCTCACTCCTGTGTCCCTAAAAGGGATCAGGATAATGTGCAATGTATGTGGGATTATGCACTGTTCTCTCATACTTGTTCACCATTCCCTCCACACCTACACACATGCACTCAGAAGCTCAGAACTCTCAAGATACAAACCTCATCCACACAACTATCAGACCTACCTCCAACACCATAGCAGCACATGGCTCCGAGTTCCTCCTCATCCTCCCAGCCCAAAGAATGAAACAACTGAAGTGTCTGAAGAGCTCATTTTACTCACCTCATCTAGTTTCGTTTGTTTGCAGGGAAATGAGAATGTAAAGCCCAAGGGGAGCTTCTTGTCTTTGATTTGTAGCTTATCCATAAAGTTAGCCAGGCATTCGGCAATGTGGTCAAACAGCTAGGGGAACATGACACAGGAAGATGAGCAGGGAGGCAAAATGGCACAGCAATTAAAAGCATACACTCTGGGCTCTGAAAGGAACTAGCTGAATGCATGCAAGGTATGCATCCCCTGTGAAGTCTATTTTCTCAGTCTATAGCACGGGAATGCTAACCAAAAGGATTAATTGAGGCAGTACACATAAGGGCTTAACACCGTTAGTGCTTAATAAGTCTTCCACTTCAACCACTTACCCAAACCACTATCAAAATAATCCCATGAGGTGGGAGAAAGCACAGCCAGAGCTATCAGAAAGGCATTGCAGGCCCTAGAAACAGAACAACCTTTGGTGGCCTTGTCAGAACTCCCTTGTCAATGATGCACAGCTGAATGCCTTACCAGAAAAGGAAGCCTATCACAGTGCCAACAAGCATTTTAGCATCCCTGTCTCCTCTGATCAGGAGAGTGGGTGGGACATTCTCCGTTGGCATTCTATGAAGAGACACCTAATAAAAACAAGTAACTTTGCCCCAGCGGGTTTGGCTCAGTGGATAGAGCCTCAGCCTGTAGACTGAAGGATCCTGGGTTCAATTCCAGTCAAGGACGCATGCCCAGGTTGCAGGCTGAATCCCCAGAAAGGGGGGGGGGGGGGGGTGCAGGAGGCAGTTAATCGGTGATTCTCTCTTATCATTGATGTTTCTATCTCTCTCTCCCTCACTCTTCCTCTCTAAAAGAAAAAAAGGAAAGAAAAAAAAAAATAGAACACCCAATAAGCCCGTGAAAGGCACCGAAGAATAAATAGGATTTTGTGGATGGGCAGGCTCACAACTAAGACTATGCTCAGCAGGACTGGCGGCACCTAGGAAAAATCCTAAACTTAAGGAAAACCTGTAATGACAATTGCCCAGGTTTTCGATCAGTCCCAAAGCTCACAGTCACCCTTCCTTCTTGCCTATTCAGCATCCTCAAAAAGAACTTGGTGGCCCCTCCAGATGCTTAAAGGCTGAGGCCACGGTATTCTGGTACAAAAAGTAAGCAGAGGCCAAAAAGATGGAGCAGATTCCAAGGGCCAGGTTGACAAAGATGACAAAATCTAAAAACTAAGGGGATAAAAGAGAATACCGGTAACATTTTCCTCCCCAGACAGACAAGTCAGGAAGATTCCACTGAATAAGCTCTTCCCAAAGTGTGATTTGCAACCAGCAGTATTATCAAACCCCTCCCCCCCCCCCCCCCCCAGTGCAAATTCTAGGGCCCTCCAGCTGATCCTGAAGCAGTGGTTAGGGAACCACTACACTAAACCACAAAAAGCATTTGCATTTGTAAAGGAACGAAAGACATTCGGGTGACAGGCTAGGTGGATATCTGGTATTATCTCAGTGGGAGGGATCCATAAAGACAAGGCCACACTTAACTAGAAGGTAGCCAGCTCTAACTGAACTTCCTGCACGGATCCTGTCCCTCTGTCTGATCACCTGCAAGTCACTTCAACGGAGTCTGAACCAAAACACTCAGGGGCAAAGACAGGGCCCTCTCACTAAGAGGTTCACCTACTCACAAGTGCCAACTCCCGTGAGCAGAGGTCAAGTATTTTAATAGTAAATAGGGTTTCTAGACAGCTCTTCAGAAAGTTCTGTTCTTTTGTTGGACAGTCAGTCAGAGACAACATTTATGATATGGTTAAACACCCAGCACCTTCTTCCTGGTACTCTAGTCAAAATGATCTTTAAGACAAATAGTCTTTATAAAAAGAGGAAGCTATAGGAGCTATGCAAAGAGATAAGGCATCAGGGCCAGGGGAGCTTTAGAAGAGGTAAAAACAAAATGGGTTCCCCTCACCCAGCCCTGCCCACTGTCCCCTTTCCAACTACCCAGACAGAGGCACTGAAGAGGCATTAAATAACGTGCTGCCCACTATAGCAGCCATGAACCATCCGTGGCTATTTCAATGAATTAGAATTTCAAAAATTAACCCTTGGGACTCCATAAGCATCTATAGACACGAGGATGGTTTCCGTTTCGGACGCGTGGCAGTTAACTGGTTAAAAATCCACTTCCTCAGTCATGCTAGCCACATTTCCAGGGCTCGGTGTCACAGGTGGCTCGTGGCTACCGTATTGCGCAAGCTGATAAGGAACAGTTCCACGGTTGCGAAAAGTTCCATTGGACAGTGAGTGCCGAGTTGGAAGAACCTACAAGTGGGGAAGAGGAGACCATCTGCTTCCGTAATTAGAAGACTAGCTTCTTTTCTGTTAGCTGATGATCTGAAGATAAGATGCAGAGAGAAAGAACTACTACCTTCCTGCCATAAAAAGGTTCAAAGGGCATCATTTTATGAAGCTAAAAAGGTTTCCTTTTCTTTATTGGCCTGAGAATCTGCTCAATTCCCTTCCCATAAGATACACTTAACAAATCTAAAGAGGCTGAGAATAATGGCTGGTCTGTGGCAGTCACCCATGGGCCAGATATTTCTGCTGTGGTGGCAATGAGTGCCCCTCTGTAGGAGGGCTCTCCTGGGGGAGCCTTTGAGAGGAAGAACCCCCAAAGGGCCTATCCCACAGGGTCTCAAGTCTGCACCAGCCCTTCAGGGTGCACCTCCTACACTGGAAGCAGGGACAGGTAGGCAGGCGATCCTCATGAACCTCATCAAGTAGCTTACAAAGTGGACAGACCCCCCCTCCTTCCCCCAGAGCTGTGAAAGCACAGGCTCTCGTCATGGATCTGGCTTTGGGTCTTGCCTCTGGCCCCTTTGATTTCTGTGATCTAAGGCCAAGTCTCTATATTTTTCAAAGTCCAATCCCATATGTATAAAGTGGAGACAACAGGAGAACCCAGCCTCATGGGGCTCATGTGAGGATAGAAATGAGAATATCCATAAAGTGCTTTTGCTCAGACAATAGGTCATCACGTACCAGCTCCTCCTCCTGATGGTTACTCATTCCCTTCAACACAACATCACTGCTTTCTATGGGAGTAGAGAGGGGGACAGTTGCTGGCGGTCCAGCTGGGCTTTAAGCCCTGAAGGAGAAAAGGCAGGACTTTGATTTCCAACAAGGATCAATGCACAATGCATGGTAGATGTTCAGTCCATGTTTGAAGACTACCTTGATGGCAATCCCAACCTTGTTCAAGTTTTTCTATTACTAAGAAGATCCTTACTTGGGTTTCACATTTCTTCTCCATCCACTTCTTTCATTGTGGGGAATTCTGAGTACAAACCGTGGCTCTAGAGGCCGCCAAGGTATGAGGCTAACTAAGCATGATTTGGGGATCAATGCGGAAACACATGGTGCCCACTGGGATGCCAGCTGGGGCCGATGCCCCAAAGCTTGATTTTGATGTTTTCTCAACAGGTTCCCATCCCTGTGTGCAAAACCTTTTCTTTTTTAGATGGTCAAGGACAGAGAAGACCAATAATCACAAAAGCAAAGGGGCAGGTTCCATTTTCATGTGATGATATGATGACAACTGTGAATCAAAAGGGGCTGCAGAGTGACCACAGTGGCAGGTGACCGTGTCAAAACACAGTTGTGTATTCCCCTGGCTCACCATTCAGAGGTACCACTAACGACCAGGTGTCCAGAGTGTGGGCCCAGCCTCCTGACAATGGGCTTTCCTCAACAACCAGCACGTGTGAGCAGACCTCAAAACCCCTCCAGCTGCAATGCATCCAGACTCCCAGGGCCTCATGCGCCTGCTCCAGACCGTGTGCACCTCTCCTGATGGAGGCCCCACTCTGCTTCCAGGCATAGAGGGGATCACCATGCGGAGAGGTCAGGGAATCCCAGCTCCAGCCTGGCTCTCCGCCCTCCGGACACAGAGGAGGAGCAGTGTGCCCCCCTGTGGGGCCCGGAGACCCCGGGCGGCTGAGAGAAGGTTCGGACCTGCGTGCCGCTGCCGCGCATGATGTCCTCGGGGATGGCGTAGATCTGGTTCTCCATCTCCACCTTCTGGAGCCCGTTGTCCGTCACTCTCACCCGCAGCACACGGAAGTTGGTCCCTCCAAGGTCCAGAGCCAGGAACTCTCCGTGTTCTGCAGACAGAAAGAGGGCCACTCTTAGTTCGGAACAGACACGCTCCAACTGCTTCACACAGACCAAGACTTAAAACCCACAAGTCCTGCCGTAGACGGAGTCTTACGTACCCATGGAGTCCTTAAAACCCCTGAGACCATAAATACTGGTCATCTCTGCTCATGGGGTGTATGATGGGTCTTAATATTTTTCTACACACATTTATGTACTTACTGTCTGAGTCTTTTTCTTTTTTTTTTAAATATATTTTATTGATTATTTTTTTACAGAGAGGAAGAGAAAGGGATAGAGAGTTAGAAACATCGACGAGAGAGAAACATCGATCAGCTGCCTCTTGCATACCCCCTACTGGGGATGTGCCCACAACCAAGGTACATGCCCTTGACCGGAATCGAACCTGGGACCTTTCAATCTGCTGGCCGATGCTCTCTATCCATTGAGCCAAACCGGTTTCAGCTGAGTCTTTTTCTCAATGCTAAGCACTCTTATGTTACTTTTAGAATTCACATAAACCCTGAGACAGTTTCACATCCAATGATGGGCACTCACCCCCTCACAGAGCTATTTCCCAGGGGCTCCCAGCCAAGTCCCCTTCGAGCCTGCGGGGCCCAGCCAGCCCTGCGCCAGGAGTCCCTGCCTCTGTTTTGTTCCTCGTGCCCCCAGGACACCCAGCGCGCTGCTACAGGCCCGGGGCCCCCGGGCGTTCTGCCAAATGGTGATCCCTGTCCAAATGTACTTTTACCGTTCGCATACAGTGACAGCCATGTACCAGAGGGTCACATGATGGAGCGGGCTGGGGCCCAAATGGCTGTCAATTAAGGGGCCTAGCAAATAAGCAGGTGCCCCTCAAAAAAAAAAAAAGAAGAAGAAAATTCCAGGCCCATTCACATGTGAGAAAAGGCTGACCTAAGAGTATGTAAAACAGGTCAGGCCAGTGCGCTGTTCCTCTCAGACCAGCCACGGAGCTGGGCAAACGGGAAGAGGGAATCTCCACAGGCACAGTGGATCAAGATCCTCAGGTGTCACCAGGAAGGCAAAGTCCCTCCCCCCTGGGAAACAAGCAGCGCACGCAGAAAACTCCCCGATTCTAGGCAGTAAGTAATACAGCTGGCTGCAGGGACCTGCTCCGCTGTGTAGCACAGAGTGGAAGTGCTGAAGAAGTGCAGAGGCCAGAGCCAGAGCTGGGGGAGGGAGCTGGGCTCACCCCCTCGGCAGGGCAGCCTCCTCCACCATGAGGGCTCCCCGTCTCCCACCCCCGTGCTGCACACCTTCTCGAAGGGCAAAGAGTTATGTCCTTGGGATTCACTGATTGGCATGTTTGTCAACGCAACCCCTTGCCCGATGGGAAACCGCCACTGAAGTACGCGGGAATAGGCTGGAGGGCCAGGGAAATGCTCCGATTAAATGAACCTCCCAGGGTTTATGGTGCCCAGCCCCCCTCAGCAGCTCACTCTCAGGCCCTGAGACAAGCCACCTGTGCCCGGAGCCTTGAGGGCACACCCCACGTCCCCTACAGCCCCTGGGATGGACACGACCCACCCGAGGTTCCATGGGGACTCGCCTCCACACAACCGTGGCCTGGTGGTTTGATACACAGACAATGTCAGAATGATAGCCCACATTCCTACAGAACTCTGGCCATGTTTTGGCCACGGCAACTTCATGAGCCTCAGCTGCCTCACCTCTAAAATGGCAACATCAGTCATGGCGTGGCTGTTGTGAGGGGGAAAAACTAGAAAATGTGCCTCAGGCACCTAGCACAGGGCCAAGAGCTTGGGACACACAACATAAGTAAAAGAAACTTTCCATCCAGGTTCCCACGAAACAATGCCCGAAGCCCAGACCCGAGCCTCCCAGGCCCAGAGTTAGAGTTGCCTCTCAGACTGAAAAGTCACATCAACGTCCAGGGGAGACTGAAGTGACGGGTCCAAGAAAAGCCACTGGAATTTGCTCCCATGACGTGGGCATTCCTCCAGGAGGTGCAAGCTTTCTGTCCCCTCCCGGGCATCTAGAGCCTCCTCCTGCTTTACTATCTACTTGTTGAGTAGCTGGGACAACCTCAGCCCCATCTGGGGGACTCTGCTCCCCACCTGGCCATGGGCAACGCTTCCAGGCACCCCAATTCTGGGCCTCTCCAGGGAGCGGGACCTCAGCCAGATTGTAGGAAACGCTATGTGTGGTTGCATGAGGGATAAAAAGAAATCAAAGAGCAACTGCCCGCATCAGCACTCTGCAGCCGGACACACGCAGCCTGCTGAATCGGCAGCCACGGGGGACTGAGGCAGCGGAGACTGCCCGCTGGCTGGTCCCGATCCCAGCTCAGTTCACTGGAGGGACAGACGCAGCTCCATCGAAAGTAGTGCTTTTGCCCTGGCTGGTTTGGCTCAGTGGATAGAGCGTTGGCCTTCGGACTGAAGGGTCCCGGGTTTGACTCCGGTCGAGGGCACATGCTTGTGTTATGGGCTAGACCCAAGTAGGGGGCATGCAAAAGGCAGCCAACCAATGATCCTCTCTCATCACTGATGTCTCTCTTTTTCTCTCTCTCTCTCTCTCTTCCTCTCTGAAATCAACATATATTTATTTTTATTTTATTATTATTATTTTTTAAAGAATGGCAGTTTTGCAGTAGTATTTTCTAATGGACTAAAGGGAAACCACAAATAATGAAGTGCTGCCAATAGTTCTGTTCCCAAGTCAGAATGTCATCTTTGCTTTCTTTTCGGAATCCGCTGGAACAGACATTCCTCTGCTTCCCTCCTCCTCAGCACCTCCTCCACAATAACACACCACCACGACCACAGCCCAGGACTAGATTCTTCCCAAAGTCCACAACCTCGGGGGCAGGCCCCGCACCACGAACCTGGGAGTTAAATCTTCAGGTGACTCTCGAGGCTGGGAACAGATCCCTCGCCTCCTGCTCGCCTCCTCATCCCAAGGTATTTCTGCCATTCAGAAATGTGTGGGGTTTTTTTTTTGTGTGTGTGTTTTTATGTTGTCAAAGTATTTCTGTTTCTGGGTTTTAGGTTATGTCCCAAGAAATTCTGAAGATTACATTAGCTCACCCTCTTTCTAAATCTCTCTGATTCCTCCAAATGTGGTCACCACCACTGCTCAAGTAAAGGAAACAAGGTTTCACCATCGCTTTGGTTAAAAAATAAAACTTACCTTCCACTTTAGGTGACCATTTTGAAAAATGAAGCAAAGAATCCTGTCTTTGTCTCTCTTGTCCCTAGGACAGAGTTCACACTTGCCCGCTGGCACCTGGACTATTGTAAGAATAAAACAATGGAAGACAGAGGCAGGTGTGAGGGAGATTTAGCTGACTGAAAGGCCAACCTACAGATGTTTTTTAATGGACGAGAAACTAACATTGATGAGCTAGGAAGCTGCCCAAGGGCACATTTGTCAATCCTTAAATAAGGAAATCACTCACAACGCCAAGAGCATAAAACCCAAAGGTTACCAGCAGTCTCCAAGCTGGCCTGGATGGCAGAGGAAGTGACACTGTGGTTCATAAATTGAATCACTTCGTGAAGGTCATGCAGGGGTCAATGGGTATTGGCTGACCCCAAAGCCCATGCCTGGCTCTCTGCACCACACCCACTTCTCTGGTGACCCTGGTTCCTGGAAGCTGAGGATGGCCCCGCACAGAATCCAGGATGGAAGCAAATAAGCCAAAGAGTAGTAAAAATGAAAGCAAAGATGCCCTAATCTTTATCAGTAACTGTGGCCAAATGCTTTCAGAATTGAGTGGCAGGCGCCAGACACACACCCACTAGCAAGAAGTGGCACACCCTTCTCCCCAGGGGAACCAGGGTCTACTAAGCTGGTTGATGCAGGCTTTATTGTAGCCACAAATACGTGTCATCTCATGCAATTATACCAAACCTCTACTCCCACCTTACTGGATACTCGCCAAGCCCTCTTAGCTGAAGGTCTTTCTAATTAAAAGTATCCTCAAAAAAAAAAAAAAAAAAAATAGACAAGAAAAAAGGTACCAACCCCTCTACTAAACGAAAATAGGACTTAAAGAAGTGACGCTGGCCCACAGTTAAGAGGAATTGGCAATGCGATTAGGTCATGTCACCTTCCTTCAAATTGCCCAACAGTTAAGATCAGGTTGTTAGTAGCTTTGCTGACAGAGGCAGGTGCGAGGAGACTTAGTTGATGGAAGGCCCAACATGCAGGTGTTTTTTTATGGACGAGAAACTAATATTTGTTAAGTGATTTCCCATCATGAATTCCCTATCATTCTGCCCACTTTCAGTGAGGCTCTTCACAAATGCATTAGGTCAGCAAGATAACGTGCTTTTATTTCTCCTGGGAACTCACCTGTCTCTGAGAAGGACTCAGATGGCATTTGGCTAACTGCCCACACATGACAGTCACCGTCATCTTAATTGACACATCATCAGGACTGTATCTGAGCAGGCCATACCGCCAGCACTGTTAACATAGCTTAGTACCTGGCAATGTCCATGCAATGTTGAGGGGTGAGGGGCAAGGCCAGCGGGATTTTCCAAAAGGGTCTATTTTCAATCATTGGGTATTCGCCACTAATGAAAATAGATCTCCACCTGTTCCTCGCATCAGGCACTTGGAGCGGTGTGCCAGCCCGGGCTCTAAGAGGGACTTGCAGATTCAGCTGGGGATTTGTAAGGTGGAAGGCTGCTGTGCTCAGAAGGGACAGTGCCCAAGGAAGGGCTGACGCCCCAATGGTTGGACCTCTCAAGTTAAGGTTGGAGCCAGAGCCCAGCCTCTCCCCGCAGGGATTCTTCAGAACCACAAGTTCCAGCAGCCTCCTTTGAAACCAGTGGCTTGTACAGTGTTCCCGGGGTTCCAGGGTCCTTGAAGGTGGCAAGGTCTGCCTTGGTGAGGGTTAGGGGTGGCCAACTAAGGCACAGAATCACCTCCTGCCTCCTCACTTCCAGTTTTGTTTCTTTTCCTTACCGTCTTACCAATGGCATTCAACATAAAAGATTTCATTCTGCTTAAAGTT